GGGAGGCTGGAGGCCACGATTTAAAAAAAAAAAGTAGTAGTAAGTAGTAGTAGTAGTAGTAGTAGTAGTAGATAGGATACTTATGTATTAGGATATTTAATATTAAGGTAAATAAATGGTGGCGAAGGTGTGGCTATTGGGGAGGCTGGAGGCCACGTAGTAGTAGTAGTAGTAGTATGTGTGTGTGTGTGTGTGTGTGTGTGTGTGTGTGTGTGTGTGTGTGTGTGTGTGTGTGTGTGTCCTTTTATCAACAGAGTGGTGTGATGCGTCTAGTGTGGCAGCATTATGTTAGTGTTAAGGTGCAGGCACTGCTTGCTTCCTCTCGCTTTCAGATACCGCCCCTGGCTAGCCCTAATGGTGAACAGGGAAACAACCTTGCCTAAGTCTTCCCCTGCCAGTACACAGCCTCTTCACCATCAAGACTCCTGCACAGTCCCTCTGGCAACACACAGAGCATAGGCCCAACGGCATGTAGACACACCCTGGCGCCTACCAACCACTGCCACGCTGCCTGGCGGATTAACCTTGGTAGGTATAAGGCTGCGGGAGTAAACCCCGAACGAAATATCTGCGGTGGTTCCCCGCAACAGGCAGAGATGCTTACAGAGCTCCAGTAAGACCTCAACGACGGAATAGACGGAAGAAGTGATGAACACTGGAACCCAATGACTACACCGGCAGATAAAGGCATTGCAAGATGGAGAAGATGTAATGGCCCCTGTCTCATCAACAGAAGTAATATATAAATGGGTTACTTACATCTGATTTATATTCAGATTCGCCTTCTGTAACTTTCCACTGGTTATGAGGTGACATGTTCAATGCACGTGATAAGGTGTGCCCACAGGAAGCTGCGTCATACTATGCTGAGTAAAGGCATAAAGTAGTCGGCTCCTGGCCACCTAAAGCGGGCAGTAGTTTGATATCCTTGACTAGAGGAAGATGTTATTTGAGAGCCGCAGTGGATGGCTCTGTCTTCCCTCGAGGGGGAACGACGTACCCATACCGTTCTCCCTCAATGAGTCACTACTCAGCAGTCACTCACACTAACTTTTATAGAACGGACGTTGATCCACGTTTATATTACATAAACGCCGTCCTCTTTCTCAATGACTCATAAATAGTGGAATTTATGGTTGATATACACTCAGGAATTATAAACATAATACTTTTATAATAAAACAAGAAAATTCAATTGGGTTTCGTTACCAAAAGCCCAATTATATTATATGTGTACCAACCTGGTTAACTGGGGAATTAACTAGCGTAACATATAAGGTGGCAACAATTTCACATTATCAAGAAATTCTAGAAAGAATTCTTCAATCAAGCCTACAAGATATAGGTATTATCTAGGCATACATATAGTATATACACACATTTACATGTTCAAGACATGCCTTCACATTGATAGGACATCAATAGGGTAATTGTCATTGTTGTAAGTGCTTACTTATTTTAATATATACTGAAGTGAAATAATTCCCGGTATTTATTAGAAATAGAAAATGTGGACATTTTCTTTTGATCCCAGGGAGGATAAGAATGTTCATAATTTTCAAACTGCATATTTTAATGATGTCAATGACACATCTTCTTAAAACAAAAATATGATAGTTCTACAAAAGTATCACAGACTGTAAATATTCAGCCATGCCGTGTAGTACCCTTCACAACTCAGTACCATTGCTCTCTGCAAAATGAATGTTTCATTGAAAGAGCCTTAAGCACCACACACTCATTCATCGAGCGTGATTATAGTAGCAAAAGTTGTACATTGCTAAGAAGGTGCGTTCTTAAGCACGAAGTAGGGGAAGATTATTTCTGCCATGTTGCTTTTGATATTGGCAGTAATATTTGTGTTTTACATCAAGTTTCTTTTCTGTTTTAAGTCAGTGTTATCCAAGATGAAAATTGTTCATAACATTTTAACCCAGAAGGCACTAAAGTATAGGACCCCTGTAGTAGATAAAACCCCTACAGTAGTAGAGTCCCCAGCTTAGTGTTTACACATATGTTTATAACATGGTTAGGGTTGAATAGGATGTACTGTACTCTGTGAGCTTATTTAGGCCTCACGGAGCTTGGCCGGTGGTGACCGAGCGATGTAATGCCCCCTGTCTCATCAACAGAAGTATTATATAAATGGGTTGCTTACATCTGATTTATATTCAGATTCACCCTCTGTATCTTTCCACTGGTTATGAGGTGACATGTTCAATGCACGTGATAAGGTGTGCCCACAGGAAGCTGCGTCATACTATGCTGAGTAAAGGCATAAAGTAGCCAGCTCCTGGCCACCTGAAGCGAGCAGTAGTCTGATATCCTTGACTAGAGGAAGATGTTATTTGAGAGCCGCAGTGGATGGCTCCGTCTTCCCTCGAGGGGGAACGACGTACCCGTACCGTTCTCCCTCAATGAGTCAGTACTCAGCAGTCACTCACACCAACTTTTATCGAACGGACGTTGGTCCACGTTTATATTACATAAACGCCGTCCTCTTTCTCATTCACTCATAAATAGTGGAACTTACGGTTGATATACACTCAGGAATTATAAACATAATACTTGTATAATAAAACAAGAAAATTCAATTGGGTTTCGTTACCAAAAGCACAATTATATTATATGTGTACCAACCTGGTTAACTGGGGAATTAACCAGCGTAACAAAGCTACTATGGCAGTCCATTGCAACTCTCCCTCTCCCCAGTTGTTGCAGCTACCTGCACCACTTCATCAGGAAAAGGGAGAATCAAGATGTGTGGTTGCAGCTTGCATTCCTACCTTACTACATAAATCAACTCAAATGCAGCCATAATCCAGCTGCTATAAGTCTCTGGTCACAACCCTGCACATGGGCGGCATAGATAAGATAGTCTTTTATGCACTGGGATCTAGAGAGCAGCGCAATTCGGTCCTGTCTGTGTGAATGAGCAGCCCTTTCCAGAAGCCACTCTGCTCACCCCACATGGGGAGGAAGTTAGAAAAGGTGCCCTAAACATACCCTGCCGAAAGAACCATCCTGACTGGGACCCCGCCCCCAGGAAAGTCATCCTAATGAGGTCGAAAATAGAACCACAGATCAAAGCAAAGACAAATTATACGAGCTCTTATGGTCGTTGCATGGAATGTCAGGACGCTTCTGGAAACTGACACAAATGAGCGTCTTGAAAGAAAAACTGCCAATTTAGCCGGCAGGATGGCCATCCAGTACTGGCAGAAGGGATTCTTCAATATAAGAAGACTTCAGGCAGGAAGAAAGTGCCGGCAGCTTCCATTACTGAACTTCAGTATGCAAACGACCTCATCTCGTCGCTCACACTAAACGTTACCTGCAGCGGATCCTGAATACCTGCACAAATGCGTATGCACACTTTGGCCTTGAGTTGAATGTATGTAAGACTCAGACTCTCTTCCAGCCTGTCCCTGATTCGGCCACACGTCCACAATCCATCCAAATTAACGGTACTACCCTCTCCAATGTTACCCACTTTCTGTATCTTGGCTCCCACCTGTCCACCACCGCGGACATCAGCGAAAAACTCTACATTGGATCTGATTTGCATCTTAGCCTTTGGAAGACTCCATATTCATGTCTTCAGCAGTATGGAGCTGAAATTATCTACAAAATTGCACGTATATCGTGCAGTGGTTCTCCCCACCCTGTTGTATGGCAGCGAGACATGGGTCACATACAGGGGGCACCTCAAGGCACTTGAAAATTTTCACCTATTTCGCTGGGAAGACACAAGAGACGAAATGCTAGAGTGTATACTGTATGTATGTATATATATATATATATATATATATATATATATATATATATATATATATATATATATATATATATATATATATATATATATATATATATATAATATTCTGTTTTTCTTTTTTCTTAGCTTGTGCTCGACAGAGAACCAAATGAAAACGATTCACGCCTCTTTATTTTTAATTTTTAGTTATTTTAACAAATATGTTTCGTTTATTTCTATACATAAATAAGATTTATTTTGACATTTTTATGTTCAGGTACACCCTGTAACGCCCTGTAACACTATATTATGACAGGTGAAGTAGCACAGTGAGGTCTTGTTGAACATCTTACAGTTACCATAACCAGCCTGATGACAACTGACAGTACTCACACACTCAGTACTCAAAACGCAACTTACCCTGTGAGTCAAGCTGACCCACGTATCTTGACCACACTGAGTCTGAAATGTGAAGATATAATTGGTCACTGAAAAAAAAAACTTCACTTTTGATGTATTGCCCAATTTACTTTTTTAATTCATATTTTTAAAAAGTAGAGAAGACTCATACTTTTATGAGTGGATATAAAATAGAACAAATATAATTTTCATGAAAATACATAACATTGCATACTAAAACAATGTATTGTAAACCAAACTTTTTGTTGTGAGTGATAGTGATGAATACTGAATATGATATACACCATGAGAGTAGTTATATTACACTTATTAAACCACACGAGTAATACATTTACCAAATGCTCAATTGTCTAGCTAATGTTTTGACGAATAATATGAAACTAATTTTCAGGAATTATTCAGAGACGGAGGAAGTATTAATTTCTTATCATTATTATTCATTTTGGTCCAGCATTATTAATATAGTAGATGACTATCATTACGGTCGTTATGTACCGAGGCCAGCATGTGAGGAATTATAGATCAGTGCTTGGCAACCAGAGTGTATGTACGAGTGCATAACATAACAGTGTGCACAGAACGAAGTGTGATGGTATTTATATTAATGACCTTGTTAATTTTCATAATTTACAAATAAATCGAAAATATGAATTTATGAAACAAGCAAATTTATGGCAGCTATCCTTCGAGGTGCTTGAGTTTCTTAAACCCTGGCTGACGAGTGTAGGACGTTAGAGTAGGTTGAAGAACACTTAAAACCGACCGGGGAAGAGTAGGACCTGCGTGGAGTGCCAGGTAGCAGTACCTGGTGATTAGGCATTACCTGTGTGTAGTGAGAGAAGACTCAGAAGAAGCAACAGTGGCGCCCCAGTCATGGTGGAGTGTGTTGTGTTGATGAAGGATGACCACCACCACCACCACCACCACTCCCTTATATATCCTCCAGACATGATAACAAAGTTGGTCCTTGAGGGAGATAAACAATAATATAAAACTCTTAATTACCTGAAGGCGATAGTAACGTACTATAGGTCCTCGTTCTCAGCCTTGTGATGATAATTGTTTATCTTATTGTGCACAATACGCAATAGATACAAACACTCTTGTGTTTACCCGTACATGATACACATCACACTCTGTACATACAAATAATATATATATATATATATATATATATATATATATATATATATATATATATATATATATATATATATATATATATATACACTAGCAGAAACGCCGCCCTCCGGGTGGCGTTTCTGCTAGGCCACGGTAGGACGCCACCCTCCGGGAGGCTCCACATTGTCTCACTGTTCTGTCCCCAAAACTTCTTCTTCCATCAATAGTTCATTTACGTCGTATGTAAGTTCCACCATGTTTTTCACTACAACGGTACAGCAAAGTATATTATTTTAGCATTAAACTGTTATTATTTTGTTGTCTAATCATCACTACATATAACACCACCCATCATCACTACATATAACATCATCCATCATCACTACATATAACACCATCCATCATCACTACATATAACACCACCCATCATCACTACATATAACAACATCCATCATCACTACATATAACAACATCCATCATCACTACATATAACACCATCCATCATCACTACATATAACACCATCCATCATCACTACATATAACACCATACATCATCACTACAGATCGGTAAAGTAGTTTCCGAGATTCTCGTGCGGACACACACACACAAACAGACAGACTTCTTTGTTTTATATAGATAGATAGACATATATATTATATATTTATATGTGTGTGTGTGTATGTGCACGTGTGTGTGCGCGTGTGTATGTGTGTATGTAGGAGTGTTAGTACCTGTGTACCTCTAGCAATCGTCCTTAACTAATTATGGGGCGGCATAGGTTCGTGGGTAGTGATAATGAAGGGCTTGTCCCACTGTGTGGCGGCCTTCTGAAACTTGGATAGTTTACTCCCGCGACCGTTGTAATGTGCCCTGGAACGATCCCCCCAACCAGTTCATCTGATGCCAAGCAGGACGTAAGGATTGTTGGCCATCTGGGATGCTTTAAGGATACCAGTTTCTTACAGGTATCGAGTCCCCAAAAGGAAAAAGTCACTGCCTTAGAAGATCATTGTACTCTCCTAATATATGGCTGTCGAAAAAAGTTCCGCACCTGTGGCAGCAGTCAGTCTACGCACATAGAGGCACTTTGTGGGGAGATAAGGACATCGTGGGCCTCAAGGCGATCTATTCTCTTAAATTACCTCATTTCAGTTCGTCCAGCTTACAATGGAGGATGATAGGGATCGCGTTGTCGTCTGTAGCGCCCTCATCAGTTGGAGTGATTTCACACTTAGAACTGTTGAAGGTAAGGTTTACCCCCACCACCACCCATCCACCCGCCCGTCCTCTCATCCCTGGACACTGATAACCCAGTGTCGGGCACTCAAAACTCATCTTAAGTTAAACATTCGGCGATGTTGTAACCGACTTACGGTATTCAAACTTACAAACTGCTAAAATTATTGTAAATCAAAACTATTTTACGATGTTGTTGGCGTATTGTAACTCAAATGTAAACACTGTAGAGTAAGTCTTCCTGCGGGCCAGTCGGCCATTATTACCCTAACACCAAAACAAGAAAAGACTACAGACCCATCTCCCTCCTCGAAGTACCTGGAAAATTACTAGAAAAAATCGTCAATAACCGTCTGAGAAATCACCTGGAAACAACCAACAGAGTCAACTGCAGACAATTCGAGTTCAGGAAAGGGAAGTCCACCACTACAGCGATCGCCCTGGCATGTGAAAACATAGCCAGAGCCGCAGCGAGGCGGTATCAAATGTAATCTAACTCTCCTGGATGTCGCGAAAGCATTTGACAAAGTCTGGCATGACGGTCTAAAATATAAGATCCCCAACATTGAAAAGCTGCTTTGCAACTTTCTTGACGGTAGAAATGCCAGACTGAGGGTGGGACAACACACAGGAGAAACCTTCCCACTCATGAGTGGAGTCCCTCAGGGCAACGTCCTCTCTCCCACCCTATATATCATCTACACAAGTGACAGCTCAAGGACTTTATGACACTTCTTACCTATTGTCCACACACTAAACAAAATGTTACTGTATATTTCACACACAGATTACAACTAAATTCAGAAAAGAAAAAATACAGTATGTACAATTTGCAATAAAAAATTTCTTATTCGCTGCTTAACTATTCAAGAAACTAGAAGTCCAATTCCACACACTGCTTCAAAATTTCACATTGAAGAAATATGCAGTGTCCAAAGGGTCTCGGTGCCTCCTTCCACGCCTCCTATACATCACTCAACTCCATCTTGCCTGCTAAACATGAATAAACACAACTGCTGTTTATAAGATTATTTTTAACTGATTTGATTTTATCTATTAATATTATTTTCCACTGAAATAATATAAGAAACCTTTAATGAGGTTAATCATAGCTTGGAAGGTATATACTGTTTATGTAATCTGGAAATATACAGGAACTCAGAAGGTCCTGTAAAGTTATGGCATTTGATACAATATTACGTCACAAGATAGCGGATGTTTTGAGTATCACTACAGATAGTCGGCTTACACAGTGAACTGGGAGATACAGTATTCGGCCCCTGGGAACCAATATCAGTGATGCGCTAACATACCTCCTCTCCCACGGGCAGGTGGCCGAGACACACAAACACTCTTAGTTTAACGTCTATTACCAGAAAAAAGTCACGTGGGACAAAAACATTGGGAAGGTCACCACAATGACATCTCTGGAGTGAGAGGACGACACCAGAGAACGACACCAGAGGACGACACCAGAGGAGGCCGTCAGACAACACCTGAGGAGGATGTGGCAGGTTTCCTCAGGCAGGAGATAGAGGAAATATTACCAGCAGAATGATCACTCACATCCAGGGCGCAGCGTCACAAACGATTTTTATTTTCTCCACCAAACATTCTGAAATTGATATTTTTAAATGTCACAATTGAACTTAATTTGAACCACCTTATACTAACCTAACCTAACCTAACTCACCTTAGACTAAACCAACCTAACCTAACCTAACCCAACCCACCTTAGACTAATATAACCTAACCTAACCCAATTTAGACTAACCTAACCTTACCATGAAGTAATAATAATTGTCATTTACTTAATCAACAAATTAGTTATTCCTCTCCGACAAAAGTATCCGTTGTGTTGTTAGTGTTAATCCAACTAATGTCTCATTATAGTGTAATATTATGTGCATATACCGTACTTTTTTTTTTGCTTCATTCAAGACTTTTCCTGCATATACCGTACGTTTTTTTTTTTGCTTCATTCAAGACTTTTCCTGCATATACCGTACTTTTTTTTGCTTCATTCAAGACTTTTCCTGCATATACCGTACTTTTTTTTGCTTCATTCAAGACTTTTCCTGCATATACCGTACGTTTTTTTTGCTTCATCAAGACTTTTCCTGCATATACCGTACTTTTTTTTGCTTCATTCAGACTTTTCCTGACTTTTCCTGCATATACCGTTTTTTTTGCTTCATTCAAGACTTTTCCTGCATATACCCGTCAAGACTTTCCTGCATATTTTTTTTTGCTTCATTCAAGACTTTTCCTGCATATACCGTACTTTTTTTTGCTTCATTCAAGACTTTTCCTGCATATACCGTACTTTTTTTTGCTTCATTCAAGACTTTTCCTGCATATACCGTACTTTTTTTTGCTTCAATCAAGACTTTTCCTGCATATACCGTACTATTTTTTACTTCATATGGTTTATTTTCTTCATATGCAATTCTGAATCACCGCCTACTGACATCAACAAACAGCAACTGACTCATCTCACATTTTGCCTCCCACATTCCTTTTGGCTAAGCTTGTATCCCTCTCCATCAATATTGCTTTCACCCTTGCTACTTACCTGTACTATGCTATCCATGATATTACTGAATACAACCTTGACGTGGTCCTACCGCCTTTAGGAACCTGTTACCCTCTTCCTGATAAAATGTGATGCGAGATTCACCGTCTTAATTAACGTAATACATAGATAACGTTATTTCCGACACTATTTCCCATCTACACAGCCCTATGCCTTTTCTTGATATGGTTACTTACATGCAAATAAGAACAACGGATGATACTTTAGAAACTATCAATTTTCTTTGGATAACTGAGGAAAATTCAACGACGATACAGTAACTCGGACAGCTCAGAGGTGGGCGGGAGGTGGTGGCATTGTGGTAGGTACCTGCTGAGGAAGGGGTGAGACAGTGAATATTTTATACTATATGCGTAACCACTGCGCAGTAGCTGTGAGAATGTATCATATGGTGTGGTAAACATGGTCCATTGTATCCAGATAATCACCTTGACGAGCTCCAAGTAAGTTGCACTGTGTACGTGAGGATCTGACGGAGATAAACAGTGTACTAGATGCCATCCACACGCTATCAGTGAGTGTGTGACGGTGGCTGATTCATGTAGTCTAAGAAGGTCAAATGGATGAGTAGGTTATGAGCAAAAATAAGTGACTAGCTGTTGCTTAGAACCGCTTGTGTAGCTGATAACAATGATAAATTAAATATGTAAATGATAATTAAATAATGTGAAAGGAAATACGTTATTTATAAACAACGTCAACTTGGATTTAACTCACTAAAATATTTATTCTCTTTCTTGTTTTGATAAATTTAAGAAACAGTGATTTTACCATCGAGATTTTGCGGGTTTTTTTTGTGAAATAACTATTGAACTACACTGTGAGTCCTAGTCGAGCCTTCGGTGAGAATGAAAATGACAAAACAGAATGCTTAAAACTGAAAACATGGAGAAAAAAACACCATTGTCTTGTATTTCTGTAATGAATCACAACAACCTTATAATGGACTGTATTTACTGTATCTTCCATCCCACTTTCACTGTATAGAGACGTACAGTGAAAGTACATAAGAGTCATAACAGTATTTTATCTTTTCAATAATAACGTTATTATATTTGTATCATTAGAATCCAGAGGACCTCGATCTAATTAAGGAGAATTTAACATTAACCGGAAGTTCCCCTTAACCAGAATATGTTAACTAACGAAGTTAAAGAGACCAAACTTTAATAAATATAAATATAATGAAAAATTTAAAAATACAGATTAACAATAATAATAATAATAATAATAATAATAATAATAATAATAATAATAATAATAATAATAATAATAATAATAATAATAATAATAATAATAATAATAGGACAAATTTAGGACTGCTCCTTAATAAAGTTCAATCTTTGTGTGTATTTTTTAGTCGCATTTTGCTGCCAAGAATCATTACGTTACTTATAGCTTCGTGTCCAGGTATTCGTTAAAAGTTGTTAGATCTTCACAGCAATTATGATTAACTCTGCATTTATCTCTCAACTATGAATGATTGTACTAAAGGAAAAATAAAACTAAGTATAAAACAAAAACGTATAAACAGTAATAAATTAATAATAGTGTCAGCATGTTAAGGAGACCATACAAAATATGAATCATGGCTGGTAGAGGTGGGGCCTGGTGTCACTTGGCGACTCGGGACCAACTTTACTGTAGTTTCGAAACATGCAAGTTTCCATCTCAAGCAAGATGTGAAATAAAACAGGTTAATTCATTCAAAACGAGAGTCTTCAGAAACTTGATACTGACGAGGATGGCCAGAAGTATCGAGCAGAGAACAGGTCACGGTTTGTTGGGGGTGTTATAGACATAAAGGGATGATGAGAAGGGAAATATTAATAACAAGTTTCTATATTCTAAAAGTGGACGGGAAGAGAGAGAGGAGAGGACTAAATAGGAGATGGAAGTAAATGATAAAAGTGAGGGGGGGTTGCGGAGACCACCAGAGCGTCCAGTGAGATTTCAAGGGAAGGGCAGCTAGTGATGGGTGATGCTGGCTCGGGTGTACTGTAGCGACAAGAGGAAACAGTGTTAACATTGCAGCCTATTAGAAGGTACAGCATCATAATAGAACGCATCTGTTATATCACTGTAAATAGTGATAACGAAGTGTGTGTGAGTGTCGCCCACCTGTCCGTGAGAGAGGAGGTGTGTTCAGTACGTGTGTCACCCGTACTGTTCACCAAGACGCTATCTTGTCTGCAGCCTGGCACTGGCTTATCACTGTACAGAGACGAGAGGAAGAGAAAGGGAAACGAAATGATGAGAACAGGAAGGGATAAAATGATGAAATAAGGTGGAGTGACGACAGTGTAAAGAGTTAGTCAATTTTAGTTCCGAGAAATATTTACTCTTATTCATCTTAAATGTATTTTTTCACCACTTTCGCGTTTTCGATATCTAAGGCCACTCCCACGAAGACTACCAGAAGAAAAGAAAACAACCACAGATGGTTCTCAAAAAGTTGCCAAACCTCAAGGTGTACAGTCACCCAAAAAAGTCCTGTCGTGAACCATGAACCCCGAGATTCAGACTCTTGAATCCGAAGTATTTATGGCCATAATAATGTATCAGTGTTTACTGCTTCGAGTTCACGAGTCTGAATCTTGGGGTTCGTGGTTCGCGACAAGACTTTTTTGGGTGACTGTACATCACCACCCCTGATCCTTATGGCCAGGCAATAGACAACCTCCCTAGACCAGCACCTGCTAGTATGGTCGGCGGAATATGAAATATGACCCGCAATATAAAAAAAAAAAATTATAAATAGTTTCAAGTGTTGGCTCCGAAAAAACGGATTTATATGTAAATTTTTCTTTATTATAAAAAAAAAGCTGGTCCTAATTTCAGTACAAAAGACACACACACACACACTAGACTGACTGTTAACACTACAGTCTGAGACAACTGATGTATAGTATCTCCAAAAAGTATCTGCCAGTATCGGTCCGATGACTTCTGCAATGCTACATGCAACTCGTGATGTCCCGGGAGGGTTGGTATGCGTGGCTCTGTGGCCCGGGAGGGTTGGTATGCGTGGTTCTATGTCCCGGGAGGGTTGGTATGCGTGGCTCTGTGGCCCGGGAGGGTTGGTATGCGTGGCTCTGTGGCCCGGGAGGGTTGGTATGCGTGGCTCTGTGGCCCGGGAGGGTTGGTATGCGTGGCTCTGTGACACACTGATCCTGCTACATTTGGTAACCGAACATCATATTAATTACTCCGAAATAAATACACATTACATTACTTATGCTAAACTATATACCAAAGTTAATGCATGTCCCAATATCTATCATTCGTGGTCTCATAATGTGGACAGATACTGTTTGAGATACTGTACATTACTCAACAATCAAGTTATGATGGTTAATTATTTATTATTAGCTTTGTGTAGCAGCTGACACCTGGGTTACTAAACTCGAAGGTGATTTTGTAAGTTTCTCTCAGTAAATATGAAACTTAAAACAGCAACACACGCGGAAATTTTCTATTACAGAATAAGCCCTGACAAAAACGTTATTTAAATGTTGTTTTCAATAAAATACAAATGATAACTACTTCCTCTGATGCTGTCACTCCGAAAATCCAGGTCAGGACAAAAACAAAATAGCTTTTAGATATTCTGTTCACAGTGAGCGAGATGACGTGGCCTGTGATATATCCTGCTGTGACTTGTACAGTTTTAATCATCACAGCAATACATGTCCGTAGGTGAATTATGAATCACCTCCTTAAAACAAACCACAATGATCATTACAAGAAGAGACCTCCTAGTTATCCACAATATATTTCACACCTACTAGATCCTGGTTGGGGTGATAAAAATAATATATTTATTTCAGTTACCAGTGGCCACAAATTAGTGCATTCTCATTGATTTACTGAAGCAACATAAACAGCAGATAATACATTTATATTCGCTCATCGTTTCTGTTATTTGTCCTCCCCAGAACACGACTCATTGTAATGTACAGTACAGTGGGCTTATATATTCCTCTGGTGATCCTGCCTATTTACAATCAACATTACAGGCTAGTTGCTCTCTGGTATAAAAATAGTTTGTGTTGCACCTTTTCTGCTGTGGCCAAGGTGATGTGGTTTATTACAGGTCTAAGTTGATCACCTCTTACAGTCCGGACAAAATAGTCAAGTAGGTGGCGGGCTTCTGGTTTATATCTGTACCATTGTCATCTAATCTTTCAGTCAGTTGTCACGAGAATATCTAACTCCTCCTAACTTGGAATGTATCAGTGAATTACCAGTCATGACCCGGTGTTCCTTACTACTGACGTTCGTGACCATAATATATTGATCCAAATAAATAATTAATCAATACACATAACACTTCCCTCATAAACAACACAACCTGAGGAATATATCTTTAATTTCGGTTTTGTTGTCACTGAAATAAACTTTGAAATACTTAAGCATGGAAAGTGACGATTGATAAAATATTTAGTGGATATTTTATCACTTGGAGTAAACAAAGTCAACCTGTCGAGGGAGTGAGGTATAGCAGGACCCAGGGGGAAGGGGAGGTGAGGTCTCTGAGGGCGGTGTGTGAGGTGAGGGCTCCCAGGGCGGTGTGTGAGGTGAGGGCTCCCAGGGCGGTGTGTGAGGTGAGGGCTCCCAGGGCGGTGTGTGAGGTGAGGGCTCCCAGGGTGGTGTGTGAGGTGAGGGCTCCCAGGGTGGTGTGTGAGGTGAGGGCTCCCAGGGCGGTGTGCAGGTGAGGGCTCCCAGGGTGGTGTGTGAGGTGGGGGCTCCCACGGCGGTGTGTGGGTGAGGGGCTCCCAGGGCGGTGTGTGTGGGTGGGGCTCCCAGGGTGGTGTGTGGGGTGAGGGCTCCCAGGGCGGTGTGTGGGGTGGGGGCTCCCAGGGTTGTGTGTGGGTGAGGGCTCCCAGGGCAGTGTGTGAGTGAGGGGCTCCCAGGTGGTGTGTGTGAGGTCTCTGAGGGCGGTGTGTGAGGTGGGGGCTCCCAGGGCGGTGTGTGAGGTGAGGGCTCCCAGGGTGGTGTGTGGTGGGGCTCCCAGGGCGGTGTGTGTGGGGTCTCTGGGGGCGGTGTGTGGTGGGGGCTCCCAGGGTTGTGTGTGGTGGGGCTCCCGGGCGGTGTGTGTGGTGAGGGCTACCAGGGTGGTGTGTGGGGTGGGGGCTACCAGGGGCGGTGTGTGGTGGGGGCTCCCGGGCGGTGTGTGGGGTGGGGCTACCAGGTGGTGTGTGAGGTGTGAGGGCTCCCAGGGCGGTGTGTGGTGGGGCTCCCAGGGCGGTGTGTGGGGTGGGGGCTCCCAGGGCAGGTGGGAGTGGGGGCTCCCAGGGCGGTGTG